TCTCTCCTCCTCTCTCTCTCTCTTTTAAAAAAATCAGCCATTTGGGGTTTTAAGCCATAAACGATTTTTCTTGTTGCAGGGGATTGCAGTGGCAAAGCTAGGCTAGGTCTTGGAGGCTGGTGTAAGGCGAAGCGGGTGAAGGCAGGAGGCTGATGGAGAGACTGGGGGGAAGAAAAGCCGAAATGGATTCACTGTGCCTTGGATGGAGGACGAGAGGGGAATTGCAAGCTCCTTCAGCTCGTTCTGTCCGGTGAGAAGTGATCAAGCTTGGGCTGACAAGAGGCTCAGGGAGCCCTCACGTTCTTTCGCTTTTTTACCTGCCAATCAAACTGCTACAAGACAACACCCTGATCTGGCATGGACATGTAAGTAGCTTGCAACTCAACTTTGACATTCACTGCTAGCTCACTCCTCTCCGCCCACCCCCCCCAACTCACTTTCTTCCTCTCTCATTCTTTTTTTTTTTCTTTTGACCTTTAAGAGATCTGGGAATACACCCTGTGTGGCAGTCACTTAACACAGGCAGATTTAAGTCTGAAAGCGTTAACTTTTGGAAGTAAATGCTAATTTTGATTTCTTTTAACATGCAGAAATGAAATGACATTATTTTATTCTCTTTTGAACAGTTTTAGTGCTGAGCATGATCAGTTGCCTTGCAATGGTGTGTGTGTTTCCTTTCCTGTGAAAATGAAGAAATCCGTGAGCCCCCAGAGAGAAATGCAGAAATGAAAAATTCAGGCTTCCATTTAGAAAATATTAAATTCTACCGTTTCATCCCTACAAAGAACTTTCCCCAAACCAAGATTATCGAGAGTGGTGATTTAAGTCAAAAGGTACATATGAAGGGGTTGCTACTGCTTGCTTCATCTGGCATCTTACTATTTTGGTGGCGGTGGTTGAGGGGAGGGATGCGAAGAAAGAGAAGGAAAGGGACATGGCGACACCTCGTTCTTTATGAGAGATTGACACTGAGAGGGCTAGAAAAGCAAAAGGGCAGGATAAGCAGGAAATATTACCTGAGAGAAGGCATTACAGAGCATGGCGAAGCTGGAAGCTAGGAGGGCTTCTGTGGGAAGTTGTGTGAGGGGTGATGGGGCTTGCTCTCTGGCGCCCTCTAATGGCAACTGGAACCAATGTTTTACTTTCTTAATTCAGTACAGGGAAAAGCAGCTGGGTTTTTTGTTGTTGCTGTTGGTGGGTTTTTTCTCCGCAGGCTTAGAAACTAGAGACTATTAGAGGAGTAAATTGATTGTTTTCATCCCAGAAACTTATGTATATGCCTTAAAATTATCAGTGTTTCCTCCTCAAACATTCCCGCTTTCCCGAAATTTTGTTAGAGTAACAGGAGAGACTAATGACAAACTGACTTAAGGAGGGTGGCCCGTGCCCAATTAGTAATTCAGGAAAAGGGAATCCTTTCCACCTGAACAGCATTCTGACTCTTCTGATCTACAGGGGAAGTGCAGCGGAGTGGGGTGGGGAGGGATGATTTGGAAATTGCAGATTCTGACACGGGCTTATTATAATACAATTTAAAGGGGGCTCTTAGGAACCTCTGTTATTTCGACATGTGGTAGTAAGGGGGCTTTCCTTCCCGCCTCCTTTTTCCTTTTCTTTTTCTTCTTTCTTTCGTTCTTTTTTTTAAATTTGGTAGATAAAGGTTAATCTTGGGCTGAATGATAGAGCTATGATTGACAAGAGAAAAGGTGTTGAGGGCAGGTCGCGCTGTCTTATTTACAGCCCACTGCTTGCTGTAGAGTCTTTGTTAGGACTGGAAAGCTAATTTAGTGCTGATCAAAAGCACCACAGAGTTAAAGGACTGGTAATGACTGCTAATTTCATTTCAGCCTCATGCATCCCCAACTGCTGTAATTAAAGACACGCTATTTAAATACAGGTGAAGGGTTTTTTTTTTTTAAGTTAGGGTGGGGGTGGGTGGATTACAATTTTATTTAGATTTCATTTTATACATGGGTGTTCTGTAGTCCAACATCAAAAAACATTTTTAGAGTCACTTCTTGTCATTTATACTTGGCTTTGCAGAACAGGCAATGTGAAATGTGTCAATCACATAAAAGTCTGTTAAAAGAAAGGAAGAAAGAAAGGAAAGGAAGAAAGAAGGAAAGAAAGAAAGAGGATGCAGAGGAGTAACTGTTTGGGGGGGATTTAAATATTTGGATCTCTTTTCTTCCCCTTCAAATTAATAGAAGAGCCTTCGAAATAGGTAAAGTATCTGAAACTTGGGGCAGGGTGAACAGGCCAAAGTGATGGGTGTCAGTACTTCTAAAAAGATCATGTGAACAGATGGAAAATATATATTTCAAATTAAATAATTTCCCCCACACTGTATCTACAGTGTTGGCTCAGAAACCGCATAATTCCTCAACCGATAGGAGTTTCTTTATAAGAACATCAAAGGGTAAAAAGCTCTGCATTTCCGTAGTTGGTTAAAATTGATAACCCCCCATACACACACACACGCGCGCGCGCGCGCGCGCACACACACCCCCCAAGAAAGAATTTAGCCTTTAATCTCTTTTTATCCACGAAGACTAAAGCTCTGTACTCGACCCCGCGAGCAGCTCTCGCCTTCCGGGGCTGGAACCCGGCTCAGATGTGAAGCGGCGCTGAGCCGCCGCGCAGGTTCGTGTCCAGCGCCCCCTGTTGGACACAGTAGGAGCTGCACAGCACCAGTCCAGGAAATCGCTAGAACCTTGCTCTGGGGTAATAACCCTCCAAAACGGAGATGGGGCGAGGAAACAAATTCTCATATCCTTGAAAGATAATGTAAGTTTAACTCAATAAAGAATTAAAAGGCGATAACACAATTTTAATTCAATAAAAAATAAAGACTAGCCTATTCCTCCTATTCCTCTTCCTCACATCCCAGCAGCCACTCCCTACCTCTGTTTGGGTTTGGGGCTCTTTTCAAAGATTCAGCAATAGTAAAACAGATAGAGAAGCATGATTAAAAGAGAAAGAGAGTTTTTCTCTGTAACAGTCGAGAACCAAGCAAAAGTTACTTCTTCCGTCCTGTCCACATTTCAAAAAATAAAACCGAAGATGCTGCTGCGTTCTGCTTTGACGTTATCAGCAGCATCCTGAATGGCCTCGGAGGGCCGTCAAGTATAGTAACTGAGTCTCTGAGTAAACGAAATAACTTGCTCCTTTTTTATTTACTTTCAGAGTGTAATGAAAAGCCTAGTCTCTTTTGAATGTTTCCCATCCCCCAAACCAATCCTGATCAAACTTTTCCTTCCCCGGCTAGTAGTTAATTTCCAGATATTATTTAAGAAACGGGTACCTGACACCTCTCTCTCTCCTTCTTTCTCTTTTCTGACCCTTAGGCGTTCAGGAAAGGTGATCCGATGATAAAGAGTATTTTCTTTTGAAATTCAGCATTTTCATTTGACCAGGAATCCAAATTATCCTAGGGGAAGAGGAGTATTTTACACTTCCAAAAACTACCTGTCTGCATAAGAAAGAGCTTTGACTTTTTCTTTGGTCAGCAAGCGAGGACAAAAGTACACTTTGAATTCTTCCAGAAAGATAACTATAAAAATGACACATCCTCTGAATTTAAGGCAATGGGAAAATATGAGTTTGTCTAGGTGTTAAGATCAAATTGAAACAATTTGTGTGCTAAATGAACACGTGATCTCAACAAGGTGTTTTATGATTTTTTAAAAAACCTTAAATTTAGGGCTTGCTTTTTTTTAAAGTTTACCTATTGAGGGAAACTAGCTTAATTTCATAACACAATAACTTTTTAAAATATTTAATACTGTGGCTACATAAGTTGTTTTTATGTTTATTTCTCCCACCTCCTACAATCTGTGCATCTGAGATTGTGTTTTCAGGGAAATTTCTGTTCATTGAGATGAGAGATGTTTTCTCCGTCTGATACCAGAATCGAATCTCAGCTTAAGTTTTTCAATAAGTGAATCTGGATATAGTGGCGGGAAAAGAATCAAGGCTTTTAATCAGTTTTTTTACCTGGAATCCTATCGAAATGATGGGTAAGCGGGATTCCCTGCTGAAGACAGACCCTCCCCTTCCCTTCACCAAAAGACTAGTCCCCACTGAAGAAATATTAAGTCCTGGGCCAATTTTGGTGCCAACCCTGGTAAGGTGACAAACGGTGCTCTGACAGCCACTGTTCAAGGCTGCCTGTGGCTTTGGGGAGGTCAAAGGCAGCAGGCTCTTGGAAGGGACCAGCTGAATATACTTGCTATTCTGAAGTGATGTAGAATTTGCAAATGTAGAGGCTGAGATTTTGCCCCACCTCTTCTTCACCGGTGGAGGGGGGTCAAAACATGTAGGGTGAAGGCAAGGGTAGAAGCCACACCTGGCTGCTGGCAGGCAGGCAGTGAGCCCCCAACTTCCCAGGGCCCAGGGAGAAAGCTCAACCCCTAGTTTAGGAAAAAGAACTAAACAAGTGGGTGGCCTAGGCCTGGGAATACCACCCAGCTCTCCCAGCACAGTGTCATTTCTGTGGTTTCAGGCGGCCTCAGCCCCTGCTGGAATCTCACGCCCTACGGCGGCCAGCAGGAAGGCAGCTCTTCCATCTTTGGGGGCTGGGGAGGGGCAGTGAATGAATGACTCCTTAGTAGCAGGCAAAGCCACAACGCTGGCAACCCGCCGCGTTTTCTCCACAGCAGCAAAGCACCCTTCAGGGGCGGGGCGGGCGTTTTTGGTCTCTGGTCCCAGTGTCCAGGCCTGAGCCCGCTCCTGTTGGCTGGGCGCCCTGCTTTGTAAGTAGTCAGTCTTGCCTGATTCTGAGGGCGATCCAGGAGAATGGGCCAACCTAGCTTTGGGCCCACTCAGTGCTAAGTCCTCAGCCCCCTATCCCCTCCATCCCTCATACATTTACTAGTGAACCAAGCCTCACTCTGAAAGCCAGTGTATGGGGCTTGGAGTTTGGTAGCTCTTTGGAGGTGAGAAAATGATTATTAAAACTGAGATTGAAGAATGAACCCTCACTTATTATTAAGTTTGCTCTTTTACTTTGTCTTCAAACTTTTAAGATCCTTTAGTTTCCTTGATCCAACCCTGAGACAGACAAGGCATCAGGGAGGAGGCCCAATCCAGTTTGAAGGAACTGAGTATAGACAGACACTCATCTCTCCCCCACTCGGGCTAGCAGATCAGTGCTGCCAGACTTTGGTCCTAATCCAGGGCCCAGCTGCTACGTGGGTTGCTGAAAGGTGTTGAAACTACAAGTACAACTTGACACCATTGAGCCCACAGTGCTTGTCAATAATCTGTGAATTAGGTGCAGAGATTGTCACTGTAGATCATAACAGTTGCTGAAGGACTCATTACAGTCTATCGTGTCAATGATCTTCAAATTAAGGGTGGGGGG